GGGCTGTAGAAGCTTGGTTTTTGCCGCCACCCAGCCTACCAGCAATCTGCCGCTATCAGCGATCTTCTTCGCCGACGCCACAGGGCACCGAACCCAGACCATGCCGAGTCCGGAGGCGTCGGTGCGTATATCGCCAGCCCGCACCTTGTCCGGTGGACACTCTCCGCTTCTGGCAACGGCCGCCACCACCTCCTCAGAGGTCACGGAGTCGTCCAGGCCAGCAATCCGCACCTCTGCGGTTTTCATTGGTCTGGAGACCCGGACGTCCTCAGGGTTGAGGACCTCCCTCATTTTGGCGGCCAGTGCCTTTTCGGCACTGCTGCTCACAGTGCCAGCCACCTCGAACAGCCGTGCACCCGTGGCAGCCTGCCTGAGGGTGACGGACTGAAGGCCAAGATCTGATAATTTGATCTTGGCCTTGGCCTCAGCGATGACCGACTGGTACGTCACGCCACGCTCCACAGCTCCGGGCTGCAACGTAAGCGTCACGGCATTGGACCGCGGAACGTGCATAGTCGGTCTCTTGCGACCGCTTTTGGCAGCCCGCCGCGCAGGTTGAGGAGCCGTATTTGCGGTTCCGCCTGGGGCGCATGCAGCTGCTGCGGCCTTCTTGGCGGCTTTGCGGGCCTTTTTGCGGCCCACGACTTTTGCCCAGGTCTCACCCTTAGACCCGACAGTCGTGGGCTGCTCGCTCGAAGGAGCTCCCTCCGCGGGCTTTTTGTTACCCTCCGCGGGCTTCCTCTTTTGATGCGCAAGTCTCGGCGGCTCCTCAGTTCTCCGAGTGTCCGCCGCCAAAGGCGGACGGAGGATTTCCACCGGGAGACGCCGTGAAATCGCCTCCAGCCGAGCGTTAACCATACTCCCGCACTGGAGCATGCAGATCCGGACAATGCGCTCGACCTCTTCGTCGGTACGAGGGCTTGCCGGTCGCGGTGCGGGAGTCGGGGCCACTACAGGTGCGGCATCGGTGGACGTGCGTCGCTGCTGCTCTTCGCTCAGCGCAGCGACTTGCCGTCGGAGGTCCTCCAAGTCATTTCTGAGGCGGCTGTTTTCCTCCTGTAACTTTGCGACCTCGTCAGAGGCCGTCCTGTTGAGGAGGATGCCAACCGCCTCCCTAATATCCGCGGCAGCCTCCTTTAAGCCACGGGTGAACGTGCCCTTCAGGCTGCCAGACTTGGTGGCAACCTTCAGGACTAAGTCCACCCCATCCAGAGCCAGCTGGCTTAAGGCCACCGCAGATGGCTCTCCCCCTTCCGCCGCAAGAGCAGCTCGTCGCTCGCGAGCACGTCGGGCCATTTCCGACACTTCGTCGGCCGCGACGGCTTTACGCTGCTCCCTCTTGGCGGCATTGAGCTCCGCCTTTGAGCTTCCCAGCGAGGCACAGCTTTCACCGCCATCGCCAGGGTCCTCCGTAGTGAACCCCATGTCACTCTCTGCTTCACTAGCCGCCGAGGTATTGGAGCACACGAATCGTCCGTGCTTATCCCTCCGCGACTGCGAAGCACTCGCCCCTCTCGATGCCTGCCGACCCCTCCCCGAAGTCGGCAACTTGGGAGCCGGCAGGCCTTCCTCTTCTGAAGACCGGCACACTGGACGTTTCCTAGCGGAAGACGTCCCACGCGACCGATTTCCACCGCTTCCAGTATCTGATACTGCCTCCTTTTCAACCTCTACGTTTTTAATATTTTTATATTTATCCATGTTTTATCCCACGAGTGTGGAGGAAATAGCAGTCCATCCGAGCAGTGCCTCCTGTGCCCGGATAAGCCTATGCGTAACCCGTCAAGGGTGTCGGCCGGTACCCCGACGGGGGCAACGCTAACGACTGAACATTTACCCATCAGCCATGCAGCTCCTCACGGCGTGCCACGCTTGAGCTTCGGGTGATTTTTTAAAGAGGTTATCATCCTCGCGACTCCAGGCGGTTAAGCCAAGAGCCCTCGGCCCCTAAGGCGCCGCGAGACGTGATCCACGACACGCCAGAGGGATTCCGAGGTTCGAATGGTGGCAGAGTCGATATGGAATCTTCCCATGCCTGCCCAGAGACCGGGTGAGGGAACACTGAGCCCATTCAATTTCCTTTTTTTTTACAGGGTGTGGTCCCTGAAAATCCCGCAATTACGGGTTGCCCGGCGTCGGCAAAAGCCGAGTGCACCTGGCACCTCACCGCGCATGTCACATTCTCTGTTCCTCTCAACGGAGAGGATACAGGAAGCAACTAGAAGGCCCTTCGTTATCCCAACAAGCCCTCAGCCAGCCAGTTTTGGTCCGCGACGGTTTCCCGCTACCACTCATATCTGAGTGGCGTTCCCCTATCCGCCACCTGGGGACGCGCCCGATGGGAGTTCTGGCAACTCCACACGGGAACCTAACCTAACCTAACCTAACCCCAGTACATCAATCAACTTCCGTATATCGACAGGGAAAACCTCTTTGCGATGCAATATACTCGCCCAAGCCTCGTGACCACAATCAACCAAGAACTCCTGTGCACGCACCGGAATCCGATGGATGTGGCATATGCCCTGAGTGAAATCTACAATGGCATATATTCATCCAGATCTCAGGTGCATTCACTGGAAAGGAAAAGGTACACGGGAGTCGTCATTCCAGGTACCCTGCCAAATACATTATATCTTGTATACACGCAAGCAGAAAAGGAGTCCCTTACAAGCCAGGGATATGGTTCGGGTCCTGGGTCGCGAATTTTAACCGTACATGAGGCCCAAGGCCTCACATACGGGACAGTGGTCATAATGAGGACAACAACAGAGAAGCACAAAATTTATGACAGCGTCCAACACGCAGTAGTGGCAGTGTCCAGGCACACAGTCTCCTGTGTATATTACACGGACGATTGCGACGATGCGACTGGACGGCTGATTGAAAGCACGATGGCTGCGACAACAAACAGAATTAAAGAATACAACCTAAAAATGGCACTAAGAAGCAGAGACGCAGCTGTCGTAGAGGCCCTGACAACGGCGAATTGATATAGCTGAAGACGGAGCGGTCTCCACGACGACCGAATAATAATAATTAAAAAAAATGTATATATTATAAAGTTAGGAACTAGATTATAAGTTAAAAGAAAGAACTAACGTATTTGTAATAATACTTATATATAATTAAAATAAGGTGTAATAAAATTTGTATGGTAAGTTAAATAAAGCATGTTAGGAATTAGAACTCAAAACAAAAACAAAAAAAAAGTAAAAGAAAAAAAAAACGCATGATATATAAAAAAAAATAATCTATATATATATATATAAAAAGAAAACAAACAAAAGAAAAAAAAAAAAAAACGTGAACTCACTGCTTAGGCTTAAGTAAATTTACTATACTAGTAGTGTAAGGAGTACAATGTAAAATAAAAAAGTTAATAAAGAAATATAAAGCGAAAAAAAGGTACGGACCTCGAGTCTGTAGTGTATACTTATTTATAATAAAAAAAAACCTAACCCCAGTTGCTCCGCAAACGTTGAGTCGAAAGCATCGTTTTTGCTTAGCTCCGTCAAAGAAAAATCAATAAAAATAGTAAATTAAGTGCTATTTTCTCGTGTTAAGTGTCAAAAGTTGTGTTTTTACGACGTCCGTATTATGACCTAATTGGATTCACCCGGACGCTGTTATTGAAAGTGTTATTTTGGTTTTTCTGTGTTAAGGACGTGGTTTTTAGGTTATATAAACAGTCTTTTGTGAACGCTGCGCGATTAAGATCTATGACATATGTGTTTTTATATGTCACACTGTGGGGCTCATTGTCTGCTACAAGATCCCAAAAAATTAGATTTTTTCATTGAAGTGGTGCCGAGTTATAACCATATTTAGAAAAACCACGTGTCTACCAAAATCAACACGGAAATCGTGCGGCTGGTATGCGGACTGAAATTAGAAGGAAAAGTGAGTTTTGAACTGTTATCAAGTTTCAAATTTGAAAAACATTAATTAATTCAAAAGTTATAACCAAAAGCAGTTGACAAAGTGACAACCCTAACTTTGAGGTCGTATAGCTCTTTAAAGCGATCTATGACATTATCAATAGTGACCAGAATTTGAAGGAACATTTTAAGTTCTTTAAAGATTAGTAATTAGTTTATTTTTATGTTGAATAGTTTTAAAGTTATTGATTTATTTGTAAATTATACGTGTAAAACCAACCGCAAAATAAGAAAAAATAAGTTTGTAATCCTATTGGAACCGAACACATAGTGTTTTTTAGAAAAATAGCAGCTTTATTCGTGTGACAGTCATAAACCTGACCTTCCTTGAGAATTTGATAAAATCGAATAAATTTAAATCAAAATTTTAACAATTTTTTAATATATATTTATTTTTTAATATATATATTTTTAATTACATTAATTATAAAAAATCATCAAAATTATAATTGACTTCTCTGAGTGAATGCACAATGGAAATTCCATTAGTTTGAAACCAAACACGGTGTAATTGGGCCTCTTAGTTCGCATACAGTAGACAAAATTAAAATTTACGCCATCTTGGCCGCCATATTGTGGAAATTAAAACACGTAGAACTCAAGAACCATACGTCGCACAGGACTGTGGTTTTGGACATACTATTAAGCGGCCAAGTGGCCATCTTTCTATTGACATTCAGACACTCTACATAGAGTCAAATTTTAATTGTGAAAACCACTCTAGAAGGCGAGATCATATTGTTCCCATTATAAAGAACCCGAACACGAGTTTTCTGCGGCGGCGGGAACGGAAGTTATAAAGCTCCAAACTATCGGTCGCCATCTTGGGCGGCCATCTTGAAAATCTTGCAACGTCTGTAACTTCTGAACGAATTGTCGTAGCGAGTCGTGGTTTTGGGCGCAAAGTGTGGCATCTTGAGTGCTGTCTCTTGACTTACTGACCTGTTAAACTTTTGCAATAATCTTTACGATAGAAAAAAAAAAGTTTTTTAATTTTTTTTTCTCGATATTTTATTTTTACTTTATTTTTTACTTATTTAAATTAGGAAACATTTAAGTATGGCTTCGAAAACGAAGTTTGACAGTAATGCCAGCTCAGGTAGGTCTAAAATCACTGTGACAACGGTAGTTCAGGTAATTACTGGTCATCTTATACGTGGTAGAGCCATGCTGCATCTATATTAGGTTGTAGCACTAATGGGTCGGCTCGACCGGGGAAGGACCACGCTCTCACAGAATACCAGCGTAAAATAGCAGCTTAACGCTGCTGTGTTTTGTATGGTGAGTGTAGAGAACCGGAGACCCTTTTTACTGGAAACGAGGCATTCCATCTTAGTCCTCACGGGTGACAACGCATCTGCATTTTGACTCTTAATCGAAGATAGATGTAGATGTCTATGGGCCACAGCGACCACTTACCATCAGGTGGACTGTGTGCTCGTTTGTCACCCTTATCCTATAAAAAAAAAAAAAATGGTGGGTTTGCAAGCTACCTCAACCGTTTTAAGTGTAAAGACTCTCCAGAATGTATTTGTGACTCTGAAAAAGAAGAAACTGTGGAACATTTATTATTAGAGTGCCCTAAAAACATTGAAAAAAGATTGAAATTAGAAATAATTACAAATATTAAACTCAAAGTAGAAAATATATGTGTATTATTAGAATGTAAAAGGCATAGAAATAAGTTCATAGAATATTGTATAGATATAGCAAAAGAAGCGATAAATAGAAATAAGACTAGGTAATAAGTATTTCGATAATATATACTGTGTTATATATTCATAATATACTAACATAAAAAAAGATGTTTAAAATAAAGATAAATATAGTGTGAAAGAAATGTTAAACTAAAATGAAATTTAAATAAGAAAAATTGTAGCACATACACTCTAAAATAAAAAACAAATCATAACCGAGGACTCCCTCTATGACATGATACGGATCATAAAAGATGAGCTAAAAAGGACAAAGCTGATCTTTGGACATAGAGGGAGCCTTCGATAACGCATGGTGGCCGGCAATAAAATGCAGACTAGCAGAGACGGGGTGTCCGATAAATTTAAGGCACCTCATAGATAGTTACCTGGAAGATAGAACAGTCTGCATCAGGTACACGGGAGCGGAATGGGCCAAAAAGACTACAAAGGGATGTGTGCAAGGTTCTATAAGGGGTCCTTTATTCTGGAATTTGCTCCTTGACCCACTATTAAAGGAGTTAAACGGCAAAGGGGAATATTGCCAGGCTTTCGCAGACGATGTGGTCCTGATTTTCTCCGGGGACAGGGCATCGGAAGTGCAGGATAGAGTCAATGCAGCCCTCGAACGTGTTCAGAAGTGGGGAGTCAAAAACAAGCTTAAATTTGCGCCGCAAAAAACGAAAGCCATGGTCATTACGAATAAGATAAAGTATGACTCAATTCACGAATGGAACCGACGTTACATGGAAGGCGAGACGGCCTCTGTAACAAAGACATTTTTCCAGATAGCATAAGCGCCTATCCTATTATAAGAAAGCTAACAATAGACCCACTAATGGTACAAGTGATGACAGGACATGGCGGGTTCTCACAATATTTGCATCGGTTCAAGTGTCGGGAGAGCCCGGCATGTCCCTGTGATCCAAATGAAGAAGAAACTGTATTATTGCACATAATAACAGTATGTCCCATGTATAATAAGGAAAGGAATAACATAGAAATGGAATTAGGAATAAAAGTAGATAAGGATAATATATGTCAAATAATAAGTAATAAGCACAATAGAAGTAGGTTTTTGAATTATTGTAAGTTAATAGCAAATAAGGTAATTAAGAGGAATAAATAAAATTAGTATTAAGGGATTTGTAAATTATATTTTAGAATATAATGTAAACAGCTCCACCAATCTAGCAAAAAAGTAGATCAAAGCAAATTCTGAAAATTTCTGCACCGTCTACCAGGCAGAGTTGCTGGCCATTCTCGAAGCAACCAGATATGCATCAAAAACTGTCATACTAAATTGCAATATATATAGTGATTCGAGATCAGCTCTCTCAACAATTGTACAAGACCTTTCCCTCCATCCCCTAGCGGTGGAAGCAAGAGGCAACATAACTAAAATAAATAGACAGGGTAAAACCCTTAAACTTTTTTGGGTAAAAGCTCACGCAGGATTGGAGGGAAATGAGATAGCAGACAAACTAGCGAAAGAAGCTGCTACAAAAATTAAAAGGAAAGCAGATTATGAAAAGTGTCCGATTTCATACGTCAAGCGACAAATCCGATTGGAATCGCTTGACGAATGGAACCGGCGCTATGTGGAAGGGGAAACGGCGTCAACAACAAAAGTCTTTTTCCCGGACGCAATTAAAGCCTACCACATAATAAAGAAAATCGACATGGATCCGATGACGGTTCAAATTATGACAGGACCTGGGGGATTCTCCGAATACTTGTATAGATTTAAGTGTAAGGAGAGTCCCGCATGTGCCTGTGATCCAACTAAAAATGAAGACATAATACATGTTATCACAGAATGTCCAATTTATAGCCGAGAAAAATACAACACAGAAATGGCATTAAATATAAAAATAAGTAAAGAAAATGTACATGAAATTATAGGAAATAAGCACATTAGAAATAAGTTCTTAGAATATTGTAAGGATATAGCAAATAAAATAGTAAATAAAAATAAATAGTATGAAAAAACCTAACCTAACCTAACCTTTTTTTTTTCATGGGGAAATGCCTACGCATACCCGCCTCGCGGGGGCTAGGACGGGTTATGTCGGACTCGCACCGACTAAAACCCCATGGTGTTCCACCCTCGTCGCATATTGGCAGGGCCACGGGAACGCTTTCGCACACTTCCGCGGCCCCACCTGCGCTGGCCACTCCAAGGCGGCCCCTCCTCGGGAGAGGACTACTCCTCCCCCATCTCCCTCTCCGGTAAGGCGCACCAGAACACATGGCGCGCCCTCCTCCTCGGCCTCCAGTTTCACATGCGCAACGGACACCCCTGTGTCCGATGCGCGAAGGCCATGGGGCCAGGAAAAACTAGCACTCATTAGCACCAGCCTTCCTGACCCCAGCGGCGGATCTGGTCTATGGCTCCGCCGCCAACCAAGATTCGGCTGCGGAGGGTAGGGAGAGCGGCGCCTCGCAATACCGACACTCCTCTCCCCCCGCAGCCCCACCACCACCGCATCAATTGACGTTGCGGCCCCGTCTGAGTCGCGGAGGATAGGGCGAGTGGCGCATCGCCATACCAGCACGCCTCCTCCTCCGCGACTCCACCTCGGCTGCAGCGATAGAGGGAGCGGACACCCTTCTCGCAGCATCCCACCGACACACATCCGAAGTGGGCTTCCCAAGCCCACTCGGAGTGGCCACCTCGGGCCGGCCCTACACCACGGGCCAGCCAAGGGGTTCCTCTTTGTTCACCGTGGGTGACCAAGCCACGGCTACTAAGCCCCCCCGCCACGACAAGGCGGGAACCCGTTCGGGGGGGAACCTAACCTAACCTAACCTAACCTAACCCCAGTACATCAATCAACTTCCGTATATCGACAGGGAAAACCTCTTTGCGATGCAATATACTCGCCCAAGCCTCGTGACCACAATCAACCAAGAACTCCTGTGCACGCACCGGAATCCGATGGATGTGGCATATGCCCTGAGTGAAATCTACAATGGCATATATTCATCCAGATCTCAGGTGCATTCACTGGAAAGGAAAAGGTACACGGGAGTCGTCATTCCAGGTACCCTGCCAAATACATTATATCTTGTATACACGCAAGCAGAAAAGGAGTCCCTTACAAGCCAGGGATATGGTTCGGGTCCTGGGTCGCGAATTTTAACCGTACATGAGGCCCAAGGCCTCACATACGGGACAGTGGTCATAATGAGGACAACAACAGAGAAGCACAAAATTTATGACAGCGTCCAACACGCAGTAGTGGCAGTGTCCAGGCACACAGTCTCCTGTGTATATTACACGGACGATTGCGACGATGCGACTGGACGGCTGATTGAAAGCACGATGGCTGCGACAACAAACAGAATTAAAGAATACAACCTAAAAATGGCACTAAGAAGCAGAGACGCAGCTGTCGTAGAGGCCCTGACAACGGCGAATTGATATAGCTGAAGACGGAGCGGTCTCCACGACGACCGAATAATAATAATTAAAAAAAATGTATATATTATAAAGTTAGGAACTAGATTATAAGTTAAAAGAAAGAACTAACGTATTTGTAATAATACTTATATATAATTAAAATAAGGTGTAATAAAATTTGTATGGTAAGTTAAATAAAGCATGTTAGGAATTAGAACTCAAAACAAAAACAAAAAAAAAGTAAAAGAAAAAAAAAACGCATGATATATAAAAAAAAATAATCTATATATATATATATAAAAAGAAAACAAACAAAAGAAAAAAAAAAAAAAACGTGAACTCACTGCTTAGGCTTAAGTAAATTTACTATACTAGTAGTGTAAGGAGTACAATGTAAAATAAAAAAGTTAATAAAGAAATATAAAGCGAAAAAAAGGTACGGACCTCGAGTCTGTAGTGTATACTTATTTATAATAAAAAAAAACCTAACCCCAGTTGCTCCGCAAACGTTGAGTCGAAAGCATCGTTTTTGCTTAGCTCCGTCAAAGAAAAATCAATAAAAATAGTAAATTAAGTGCTATTTTCTCGTGTTAAGTGTCAAAAGTTGTGTTTTTACGACGTCCGTATTATGACCTAATTGGATTCACCCGGACGCTGTTATTGAAAGTGTTATTTTGGTTTTTCTGTGTTAAGGACGTGGTTTTTAGGTTATATAAACAGTCTTTTGTGAACGCTGCGCGATTAAGATCTATGACATATGTGTTTTTATATGTCACACTGTGGGGCTCATTGTCTGCTACAAGATCCCAAAAAATTAGATTTTTTCATTGAAGTGGTGCCGAGTTATAACCATATTTAGAAAAACCACGTGTCTACCAAAATCAACACGGAAATCGTGCGGCTGGTATGCGGACTGAAATTAGAAGGAAAAGTGAGTTTTGAACTGTTATCAAGTTTCAAATTTGAAAAACATTAATTAATTCAAAAGTTATAACCAAAAGCAGTTGACAAAGTGACAACCCTAACTTTGAGGTCGTATAGCTCTTTAAAGCGATCTATGACATTATCAATAGTGACCAGAATTTGAAGGAACATTTTAAGTTCTTTAAAGATTAGTAATTAGTTTATTTTTATGTTGAATAGTTTTAAAGTTATTGATTTATTTGTAAATTATACGTGTAAAACCAACCGCAAAATAAGAAAAAATAAGTTTGTAATCCTATTGGAACCGAACACATAGTGTTTTTTAGAAAAATAGCAGCTTTATTCGTGTGACAGTCATAAACCTGACCTTCCTTGAGAATTTGATAAAATCGAATAAATTTAAATCAAAATTTTAACAATTTTTTAATATATATTTATTTTTTAATATATATATTTTTAATTACATTAATTATAAAAAATCATCAAAATTATAATTGACTTCTCTGAGTGAATGCACAATGGAAATTCCATTAGTTTGAAACCAAACACGGTGTAATTGGGCCTCTTAGTTCGCATACAGTAGACAAAATTAAAATTTACGCCATCTTGGCCGCCATATTGTGGAAATTAAAACACGTAGAACTCAAGAACCATACGTCGCACAGGACTGTGGTTTTGGACATACTATTAAGCGGCCAAGTGGCCATCTTTCTATTGACATTCAGACACTCTACATAGAGTCAAATTTTAATTGTGAAAACCACTCTAGAAGGCGAGATCATATTGTTCCCATTATAAAGAACCCGAACACGAGTTTTCTGCGGCGGCGGGAACGGAAGTTATAAAGCTCCAAACTATCGGTCGCCATCTTGGGCGGCCATCTTGAAAATCTTGCAACGTCTGTAACTTCTGAACGAATTGTCGTAGCGAGTCGTGGTTTTGGGCGCAAAGTGTGGCATCTTGAGTGCTGTCTCTTGACTTACTGACCTGTTAAACTTTTGCAATAATCTTTACGATAGAAAAAAAAAAGTTTTTTAATTTTTTTTTCTCGATATTTTATTTTTACTTTATTTTTTACTTATTTAAATTAGGAAACATTTAAGTATGGCTTCGAAAACGAAGTTTGACAGTAATGCCAGCTCAGGTAGGTCTAAAATCACTGTGACAACGGTAGTTCAGGTAATTACTGGTCATCTTATACGTGGTAGAGCCATGCTGCATCTATATTAGGTTGTAGCACTAATGGGTCGGCTCGACCGGGGAAGGACCACGCTCTCACAGAATACCAGCGTAAAATAGCAGCTTAACGCTGCTGTGTTTTGTATGGTGAGTGTAGAGAACCGGAGACCCTTTTTACTGGAAACGAGGCATTCCATCTTAGTCCTCACGGGTGACAACGCATCTGCATTTTGACTCTTAATCGAAGATAGATGTAGATGTCTATGGGCCACAGCGACCACTTACCATCAGGTGGACTGTGTGCTCGTTTGTCACCCTTATCCTATAAAAAAAAAAAAAATGGTGGGTTTGCAAGCTACCTCAACCGTTTTAAGTGTAAAGACTCTCCAGAATGTATTTGTGACTCTGAAAAAGAAGAAACTGTGGAACATTTATTATTAGAGTGCCCTAAAAACATTGAAAAAAGATTGAAATTAGAAATAATTACAAATATTAAACTCAAAGTAGAAAATATATGTGTATTATTAGAATGTAAAAGGCATAGAAATAAGTTCATAGAATATTGTATAGATATAGCAAAAGAAGCGATAAATAGAAATAAGACTAGGTAATAAGTATTTCGATAATATATACTGTGTTATATATTCATAATATACTAACATAAAAAAAGATGTTTAAAATAAAGATAAATATAGTGTGAAAGAAATGTTAAACTAAAATGAAATTTAAATAAGAAAAATTGTAGCACATACACTCTAAAATAAAAAACAAATCATAACCGAGGACTCCCTCTATGACATGATACGGATCATAAAAGATGAGCTAAAAAGGACAAAGCTGATCTTTGGACATAGAGGGAGCCTTCGATAACGCATGGTGGCCGGCAATAAAATGCAGACTAGCAGAGACGGGGTGTCCGATAAATTTAAGGCACCTCATAGATAGTTACCTGGAAGATAGAACAGTCTGCATCAGGTACACGGGAGCGGAATGGGCCAAAAAGACTACAAAGGGATGTGTGCAAGGTTCTATAAGGGGTCCTTTATTCTGGAATTTGCTCCTTGACCCACTATTAAAGGAGTTAAACGGCAAAGGGGAATATTGCCAGGCTTTCGCAGACGATGTGGTCCTGATTTTCTCCGGGGACAGGGCATCGGAAGTGCAGGATAGAGTCAATGCAGCCCTCGAACGTGTTCAGAAGTGGGGAGTCAAAAACAAGCTTAAATTTGCGCCGCAAAAAACGAAAGCCATGGTCATTACGAATAAGATAAAGTATGACTCACCACTTCTGAAAATTGGCGGGAAAGATATTGCATTGTCCAAGGAAATGAAAATACTCGGACTTACGGTGGATGACAGGTTGTCCTTCAACACACATGTGAGGAATGTGTGTTGTAAGGTACAAAACCTATATTGCCAGCTATCGAGATCCGCTAAGATCAATTGGGGCCTTAACCCTGAGATTATCAGGACCATTTAAGTTGCGGTGACGGAGCCAATTATTTTGTATGCGGCTAGTGTATGGGCACCGGCAACATACAAGCTAAAAATCAAAAAGCAGCTCGACATGGTACAACGGGGGTTCGTTCAGAAAATTATAAAATCTTATAGAACCGTATTACTACACTCGGCCCTGCTGCTCGCTGGGCTGCTTCCCCTGGACCTATGAGTTCGGGAAGCAGCCTTGCTTTATGAAATAAGGAAAGGCTTCTCCCATCGAGTGGTAGGGGATCGAGATGTGGAGAGTAAAGTAGAATACTGTAAAACACCTCACCCCGCGAATCAGGTTGGGCTGCAATTTACATGCCTGGAGGACTGTGCACAAGTTGAACAACATGATAATAAAAGTCTCAAAATTTACACGGATGGCAGCAAGATCGAGGGGAAAGTCGGCGCTGCGTTATCTATATGGAATGACGCAGTGGTACAAGTGATGACAGGACATGGCGGGTTCTCACAATATTTGCATCGGTTCAAGTGTCGGGAGAGCCCGGCATGTCCCTGTGATCCAAATGAAGAAGAAACTGTATTATTGCACATAATAACAGTATGTCCCATGTATAATAAGGAAAGGAATAACATAGAAATGGAATTAGGAATAAAAGTAGATAAGGATAATATATGTCAAATAATAAGTAATAAGCACAATAGAAGTAGGTTTTTGAATTATTGTAAGTTAATAGCAAATAAGGTAATTAAGAGGAATAAATAAAATTAGTATTAAGGGATTTGTAAATTATATTTTAGAATATAATGTAAACAGCTCCACCAATCTAGCAAAAAAGTAGATCAAAGCAAAATGATAAATGTAGATATAAATGTATTAAGGATGTTAGATATATGTAAAATAAGAAAAAAGAACCTAAATAAGGAAAAGTCCCTGATCTCTGTGTAATATATATAGAGGTATCAATAAGTAAAAGCTATGTAATATTGCTGTATGAACTAGATTAAGAGTAGGACTCCCGAACGAAAACCCGGAGTTCTCTACATCTTCTATAATATAAAGGACAAGATATAAAATAAAACTTAGAATTCAAAGTCCGTGTCAAGCTAAAAAATGTCTGTGACCTCCATGTCAAAGGGAAACAGCGAAACATACATTAAAAAAAAACCTAACCTAACCTAACCTTTTTTTTTTTTTTACGGGGGGAAATCCTCATGGACTACCTCCACCTGGGGAAAGGCGGAGGGGCGTGCCGGACTCTTACCGGCTAAAACCACCCCGGTGTCTCCTCACACGTGCGCATGGGGCCGCGGGAATCCAAATTCTTCCGCAGCCCCACACTAGTGCTGGCCCGGTCTGTCCAGGCCTCGTCTCCTGCACGGGGTAGTGAGGTGTTCAACTACCCCGTGTATCGCCTCAGGGGCGCGCGCCGACACCCGCGCGCGCATCCGCCTCGGGTCCATTGAGTAGG